CAAACCTACCTGCTTTAACTTAATGGGTTTTGCCATCCACCACATCAAGACATAAGTGCATAAGACCTTCAATGGAAAGGAATTTTAATGCAATTAGTGTGCTATAGAGAGAAGAGTAAGAATATAGCTAAAATAATTTCCAATTAAACACCCAAAGTTACCCACACCCTCCCATGGATAACTGTCCAGCCAAACAGGGTTGGCCCAAAGCAGGGCCACTGAGGCCCAAAAGCCTGCACAAGTTTAAGGCACCTTCTGGTGGGGACCCATGGGAAAGGGGCAGAGGGATCAGACAAGTCTAGAAGTAAAAGAGCAAAATCAAAATCAAGGTAAAAGCTGCCATTGCCAGCCTCCCTATGGGTGTCTCACCCACATCTCTTTCAAGTGTCTCCTTCCATGTCCCCCAACTTCAGTCCCTGGTACAAATCCAAGACCGAGAAGCAAGAGTGGCTTCTTCCTCACATGTCTTTCTGCTCCATGTGACTCCTCCAGGTCTTCTTGATCTCCTTCCTTCCTTTTCCCCATTTCTTTAGCTTCTCCTTCTTGCTCAGCTCCGCCCTCCCTTGGGTGGGGCAGGGAATGTGGAACCTCCCCTTTCACTGGGGATTACCCTGTTACAATCCTGCAACCAGTCTGTTATCAAATATCAATCACATGAGTCAGCTAGATATGTTCTCATCACTCAGTAGCACTAGAACCGATCAGCTTTGGTCGCAGTTATCAAAATGCCAGACAATGCAGTAACAGGAGGGGACTTTCTCTTACACATCTCATGTTTATGACAACACTCTCACCTCTCACCTACTCCATTTAACAACCACTTTAGAAAAAAGTCCCTTTCCCTATACCATGCTTATGTCACATTGCCAATCTTCTTTAAACCCTTCTGCTTGAATGCTCCCAACTCAAGCCCCATAATGCATGGGGCTCAAATAACCTTTGAATCAAATAACCTTTCATTTCTTCCTATCACTTTTATTCCCAACCATCCTCATTCATTTTTTTCTCTAAAAAACAACTTTCCTGTACTTACTCTTCCAGCAAAAGAGCTTTCCTAACTTTTCAGTGTCTACATTAAATAAGACATCTGTAATGGGGCGAGGGGTGCTCCATTTATTTCATAAAATAAAGAAAAATTATATGCTGTTCATACCCAGCCAAATTTAAGATTGAGACAGAGGGAAGGAGAAGGAAAATATCAAGGTTTTCAGAGAAGAAACAAGGAGGAAAAAGGGCTAGAACACAACAGGAAAGAAAAAGAATAATAAGGATGTGACACCCACAAAATACCAAATACCTTGCTGTTGATTTACAATGTAACCACTTGGGAAAAAATGAAGTTTTGCTAATTGATTTGCTAATTTACTACAAAATTTTCCTATAGGATTAAAACTTTATTCTTCCAGTGTTATATGTGTCCCTAGTTGTAACTGATGATAACTGAGCAAAGCAACTGCCAGAAAAATCCCAATTAAGCTATTCTTTTTTATGTTGTGAAAGGCATAATTTATAAAATGTTGACCTTTTGTTAGGCTAACAGTATGTTGATGAACTTCAAGTGAAGTGAAAAAAGAGTGTTTTGTATCGTCAGCGCTTACATTTTTGCAGGGATCACACGAGGCAGTAGAGCTTTTAAAGGTCATAGACTTCTTTACTTTAAGAGATATTAAATAGCTTATGAAAATAGAAGTCAACTACATGATAACTGGAAGAAAAGAGCATTTCCCATGGGGAAGTAAGAGATCTGAGATTACATTGACTGTCCTTTTCTTAAAGATTGTATTTGATTGTCATTTAAGCAAACCATAAAATTTGCATAAAAATGCCAAGATTATAAATGAATGAATGTACACATCTTAGATCAATAGCTATTGATCTTGCCATATGAACACTAACATTACCTGCATATACCAAGCCTTACAATAAGAACTAATCATTTATAGCCTAAAATACTCTTCAATTTTTTTTTTATATTTTGGCAAACATTTTTATACTGTTCTAGAGTTTGCAAAAATAATCTTACATCACTTATGATAACATAAAATAAATAATCATTTTCAGTAGGGAACTCAATTTTTGGAAATTATTCTTACTTTGAAGACCACTAAAACAAATGAGAAATGAAGGTACACCGAGACTGCATTAAAACCTTGAGGGGGAAAAAAAAAAGAATAACGGCATTTATCTGTCTAGTAGGTATTAACACACCATTTATGCATTAGTGGGATTTGATGTGTGGCTAGAAGAAACCCTGGTCACAAATTACTTTTCCATTTACCCTCAGATGGATCTCCTTCAATGAAGGCATTCTTCTTTCATTCTGCTGCCATTAGGGGTGACTGTAGATAGAAGGCTGTAGGAAAAAGTAACATATTGACACAGTTTAGTAGACTTCAAATAGTAGAAATATATAATGACCCAAGATTTCTTTGCAAAGAGGAAAGGGTATGGGAACAGCAGGAGGGGTACTCACAAACTTGAAGGAACACCACGAAAAGAGAATCCTGGGGACTAAAGACCATTCTTCCCTGCCTGTTAGATTCTGACTGAGCAATCTCCACCATTGGATCATCATCCATAGCTCTGGATTATATAATTGATATGTTCAGTATTTAACTGACCCCAATATGAAACATAGTGTATGATATCTGTCAACATGAGAAGCTAGATTTTAAATCATATTTTTCTATTCTGGAACATAGCTCATCATTTATTTGCTGACTGGACAGCCTCAGCAGAGACAGCGAGGGCCCTCATGTATAGTCCCATCATCCAGCCAGAGCTCAAGGAATGAAAGGCTGTGTCCATCGAGTTCCCCATCCACATTTCTCATGTGCCCAGAGTCATCCACATCCCAGATTGTGCCACTGAAAATTCAGCAACCATTTTCAAGTTTAGTCCTCAGAGCACAGACTCAGAGAATATGTGTACAGGTTAATGAATATGTGGGAACCAGTAGGCACCCACTCAAGTCTCCAACTGAACTTTCTAACTAGTGATTCAAGAACTGCACTGAGACATATTTTGCTGATGAGGAAACTAAATTGCTCATTTTTTGAAGGCACATTGACTCTTTCAAGGCCCATTGAGTAAATTAGCTCCTCCAGGCCATTAAGCTTGTCTCTACATGACATGGAGATTCCTACCTGGTATTGTATCATTTACCCCAAATCACCCCACACTTCCTCTGAGCACACACATATTCTTTGTCTACTCAGGGAGAGAGAATGTGCTCATTTGAATGTCAGCAATTGTTTTATGGCCCTAACTCAGTGACTCCCTTTGCTTCTTTCCAGGCACCCAGAGATATCTAAAGATTTACTGGTGCAAAGCAGTTATCAGCACCTCCCCAACAGGCTTCATTTGTGAGAAAAGGCATAATTTCAGGGCTTTGGGACAGAATAGTTTGTTTACAAAAGTAACATTACCAATTCACTGGGGTGAGAGTTGTAAAACTATTTATCGTATAGTCTTTATTGAAATATAACTTCCACTGAGAAGCTATGTTATCAGAACCATTTTAGGGAATAAATTGATGATAATTTGAAAGTAATCTGTATTGCCAATAGAGATGGGGCAGAGAGAAGTATGTGGGTATGTTAGATGCCCAAAAAGCCCTTTTTCAAAAAGAACATTACCAGCCCTTAAGTAAGCAGGCATGGGAAGGCCCTACAAAAAAGAATCATTTTTCTCTCCAAGATGCCATTGTATTCCCCTTTTGAGAAACAGGGATGTAAGACAAAGGCAAACATCATCTGTTTCTCTGTTATATCCAGGGCTATCACCCGAGACATATTGATGTACGTTAAAACAGGTGAGTATTCAAGAGACCAAGTGTACTCACTTGCAGAGGTTTTGGAGCAGTGTTTTATTATGTACTAATAAATCAATTGGAGCCTTCTTAAGATACCAGTTCTAAATTAGGTCTGGAATAAGATGAGGGATTTTTGCATTTTTGATAATCTCTTATGTGATGTTTATCATTTTTTTTTATTTTTGCATAGAAGAACTGGGGTGTAGGCCAGAGGTGCAGGGGGTAAGAGGAGTCACCAGAGACAGATTGGGGAGCAGAACAAGTGAATTGACTGAAATCTACTGCTGAGGGGAGCAGTGGGCGAGACAGGAGAAGTCTGCTGTGCCCTATGTGGGTCAGCTGCCTGGCTGGGATTGAACTCAGACCTTAGCAGTGATACCGCTGAGACTAAACCCCTAGGCCATGAGGGAGGCCCCTCTTATGTGATGTTTATGGTGCTGATCCAGGGGCCACACTTTGAATAACAAAGTCTTGGTATAAAATATATATTGCCAAGAACATGGTCTTGGAGAAAATGATGTATATCAAAGGAATTTGATAATATCCTTAAAATATAATTTTAGGGCGTCGCTGGTGGCCGAGGCATTAAGTCTCAGTGCTATCACCACTATGGCCTGAGTTTAATCCCCGGCCAGGGAGCTACCCACATGGCACATCAGACCTCTCCTTTCTCAGCTGCTGCTCCCCTCAGCAGTAGATTTCAGTAGATCTGCCTGTTCTGCTCCCCACTCTGTCTCTGGTGAATCCTCTCACTCCCCACAACTCTGGCCTGCACCCCAATCCTTCTATGCAAAAATATATATATATATATATATATATAATTTCAGGTGTGTAACACTTTGATTAAGTACTGAAAATCCAACAAAGACCTATAGATTGTGAGGAAAGGACATGCTTTACATTTCTACCCATCTGAAGATTTTGGTGAACATTTTTCAAGTCTGTGTTATTTAAATTTTTAAGTCTTTACTCACACTTCTCATGATGTACTTCATCAAGACACAAGAAGTAATTGTTTACCTTCGCTTCTTCGTGTTGGCGAGGAGTTCAATAAATGTCAGCGTCTGATTAAATATTCCTTTACAAAATTCCTATCAAAGCTGATTCAAGCTCACCTTGGCCTCATCCAGTGTGACAGCTACTCTGATCTTTCCTCTAAGCAAAGGCTTACTCTTTATCTTCGCAGGTCAACGGGAAGGATCTGTCAAGGGCCACCCATGAGGAGGCAGTGGAAGCCTTTCGCAATGCCAAGGAGCCCATTGTGGTCCAGGTGCTAAGGCGAACACCTCTCAGCAAGCCAGCCTACTTGACACCCCCCGAGGTGCAGCTCATGAACGCCAGCACCCAGACGGACATCACCTTCGAGCATATCATGGCGCTGGCCAAGCTCAGGCCTCCCACTCCACCAGTGCCCGACATCTGTCCCTTTCTGCTCTCAGACAGGTATTTCTCTGTCATGTCTCACCAAGCCCTGTCTGTTTTCATTCATCGGTTAAAGTAGTTTTTGGAAAGAATCAGCCACACTAGCAAGTTACCAGTTCCAGAGATGGGCCAGGCTCACAGCCATGTTCTAGAAGTGTCTCCACTATTAGTTCTCAGCTGCCCCTGCCAGCTACTCAATCTAATCCAATGGTCGCCTCATGTCAGGAATCATATTTGCTGAGGTGCAATGAAAAATTTTAACTTTGATTAGTTCATCTTCTTATTTCTAGTTATCAAAAGACACCTGCTTTAGGGGCCTCCCTGGTGGCACAGGGGATAAAGTCTCAGTGCTGTGAAGCTAATGCCAGCCACTGTGGCCTGAGTTCTATCCCTGGCTACAGAGCTGACCCACATGGTGCAGCAGACCTCTCCTTTCTTGCCCACTGCTCCCCTTAGCAAGTATGTCAGTCGATCCACCCCCCACTCTGTCTCTGGGGAATCCTCTTACCCCGACACCTCTGGCCTACACCCCAGTTCGTGTATGCATACATAAATAAAATAGATTAAAAAAAAAAAAAAAGATTCCTGCTTCTCATCAGCACCAGTCAGGGAAATAGCTTTTCTCACCAACACTGCCCAAACTTTATTAAGACTGACACATAAATGGCATTGGGCACTAAATCCTCCTCTGTAGGTGACCTTTCTCTCTTTCTCTCCTTTAAGGAGAAGCTGGGAAATTAAAAGAGCAATTCTCCAAACTTAATTTGCAGTATAATTCTCCAAAGAAAGCAATTATCCAATATATTGAAATGTAAACAAAAGTTTCTGGCTGTCAAAGAGGAAGTAGAGAGCCATGAAATACAGAACTACTAAAGGAATATTTCTTCCAAGTTTTATCTAATTTAAAGGCAGTAGAGATCTTTTATTCAAATAATCCTACTTTTACACATTGAAAAGTATGTCATGCCCCATTGTATGGATCTGTGAGCTTTTCAGTAAATATTCAAACATTACTGAGAATGTGATTTATAAGAGCAATAGTCACTTTCAACTGCATTTGTGTTGCTTACAGCGAGCCCTTCTCTTCCTTAAATATAGATCTGATTGTGCAAATCCCTGTCTTTAATGGCTCTCCTATGCATACTCAGTGGTGCATATGTGTATATTCAAACCGCCTGGAAACTTTGAAATGCATCATCAATGCAGTGTGGAATCCACCTCAAGTTGACTAAGAATTAAATAAGATTTTTTTTATCATTTTTTAAATTTTAAATATAATTTTTACATCATTTTTCATTTTTTGCACACTGTATGCATTTTCATCTTGGAACATGCAGTCCAGACATCAGAAATTTTTCAAAAATCTCCCAGTCAGTTTTAATGTACAGATATGTCATAGACTACTTTTTATTTTTAAATTTTTAAAGATTTCTTTTTATTTGCTTTTGCATACAAGAACTGGGGTGTAGGCTAGAGGGGGGTGAGAGAGGATTCCCCAGAGACATAGCAGGGAGCAGAACAGGTGGATCTACTGAATTCCACTGCTGAGGGGAGCAAGTGGGCGAGAGACAACAGAGGTCTGCTGCACCATGTGGGTCAGCTCCCTGGCAGGGGATCGACCTCATCCTGCAATGGCTGGTGATAGCTTGGTAGCGCTGAGAATTCAACCCCTGCGCTACCAGGGATGACCATGGAGACCACTTTTTAACTTCAAGTTTCAAAAGGGCACAGGCTGTTTGTCTTTTATGGTTTTATCCATTCACCTCTTCCCTGCTTAGCACCCCCTTATGCCAGGCCCTGGGACCAGTTGCTGGACATAAAACTAGAAACAAAAATAAAGCCTCTACCTCTGGGAGCTTTTATTCTAAAGCGGGAAGATGAACAGTACAAAAGCCAACAAGTTCGTTAATTTTCATCAGCACAGCCTGACACAGAGTACGTCCAGTAAATATTCTCCTGAAGAGCAACTCATAGCTAACATTTTAGTTAACTGAACATTTCAGGAAATATTCCAGGAAGTATTTTACATTTCAGGAAGTATTTTACCTGGATTGATTGAGTATTCACAGTAACCTTTGAGGAGATGGTCCGCCTTATGACTACCCCCATGTTGCGGATGAGGAAACAGATATTAAACAGCTTGGCTGAGGTCACATAACAAAGAAGGGCCAAGGCCGGGTTTCTGAGCCCTGAACCCGCCTCTGTTAGCCAGTGATTTCCTATAATCAAGATGAAAATGCATACATTGTGCAAAAATGAAAAATGATGTAAAAATATATATAAAATTAAAAAATAATAAAATAATGAAAATTCCAGCAGCTATTTTTTTAAAGATTAATTATTTTTTACTTATGCTTACAAGAACTGGGGTGTAGGTCAGAGGCGTGGGGGTGAGAAGATTCACCAGAGACAGAGTGGGGAGCAGAACAGGCAGAACTACTGAAACACACTGCTGAGGGGAGCAGCGCCCTGGCCAGGGATCCAACCGAGGCAGCAGCATTGATAGCACTGAGGCTTAGCCCTTAGGCCACCATGGAGGCCCTGTGTATGTGCTCTTAAAAAGAGGGAAATATGAAAAAAGACTGATTATAATAAAGTAAAAATTAAAATCAACAGGCAGCTATAAACCAGAGACACACTACAGGGGAGGAGAAGGGAGTAGGATCAAAACAAGGGGGGGGGTGGGAATTTTATGGGGACGATAACCAAGCTGAAAATGCATACATTGTGCAAAAATGAAAAATGATGTAAAAAATATATAAAATAAAATAAAATAAAAAGGAGGGGGAAATATGGGTTAAGAAGGAGAATGGGGAACGAGGTAAAGGATAAGGGGTAGTGTGAGTATATCTGAAAAAAGCAATTCACACTTTGGAAAACATTTCAAAAACTGGGGCTAGATAATAGAAAATTGGTAGCACTTTTTGCAAAATACAAGCTGCAATCTCAAACCCAAATCAGGAGCAAGCTGCATTTAGTGCAATGAGGCAGGAGAGGGGCAGTCTCAAGCACCTTGACCTGTAGTGGATTTTCCATCAGTTTCTTCATAGGATGAGGCCCTGATCGCCGCCCTTTCTCTTAGTTACCACTCAGAAAATCAAACTGATGAACTTCATTCTCAGAAAGAAGTCCAGTGCTCCTCCCTAGCTGTAGACCATTGAGAGGCCAGGTCACCATAGTCTTATTATGAAGCAGAGAATGCTAAACTGAAATTCTAAAATCAGTTTTAATCTTAAAAACAACCTTTTTGATCCATTCCTATCCTGTTGCACATTCCCCGTAGCTGCCATTCTCTTCATCCAATGGAGCATGAGTTTTATGAAGACCATGAGTATCTTTCCAGTTTACCTGCTGATGGAGACAGAACCGAAGACTTTGAATATGAGGTAAGATCATTTTCACACCACATTTCTCCCGAAGATATGGTTGAAGGATTTTGCATAACAAAGAAAAAAATAATTTATTGCTGTGAGAATAATCTTGTTGGTGGATATCTTTTAAATGATCTGTGTGTTAGTTATTTGGTCCTAGTATCTTAAATATATTGGAAAGCAGTTTTATAAGATCACAGATAATGTGACCACCTTTTAGTTGCTCTTTATCATGATAATCACATGTGCTTTTCTCTCCATAAGAGAATTTCCAAGTAGAGTTGGTAATGAGATTATATTTAAGGCCAAGGTTGAGTTTTCTGGTTTCATTCATTGATTTGTATTTTCATTTTAATTGCTAAACTATATTTATTATATATCTTTTCACAAATTCTATATTCTTTTTATTGCAGCTCAAGTGTGTATTCTAAAAAGTAGTTTCACTGACTTTTGAGAGAGATAACCTTATGTTTTTTGTTGCCAAGTTGTATTTAGTGGTTTATGTGGTATATGTCAGAGTATCTGTACTGTAATATACAACAATTGCAAAGACTTTCTATTAATTATTTAAAAGCTTTTTCAAAGTTAGAGGATTTACCCAAATATTTCCTCTGCTGGTGCAGCCTATAAATCTTTGAAAGGTTTCCCACTACTCTGACATTTGGAAATAAAATCGATTGAGAAGGTAAAGAAGCTTTGGTAAACAGGCACAGAGCCCGTGATTTTCTGCCCTTTTAATGCTTCAGATGATGTCATACAAGTTCAGCAAAATGTTCTTTTCCATTTTACAACCAGGAAATCCTGAAATCTCTTCCCTCAGTAGGATCTGAAATCAAATAAGGCCAATTCAGTGAGGCTCACTTAAAGCAAACAGACATTTATTTGAAATCTTCTCCCTCACAAAAGTCATTGCCGGGGATTACAGAAATCATTATTTCTTTTCAGGCAGAATCAGAAGGATATGACACCTCATATCTGTGTAGATGGTTTTGTATTGTTCATATTAATTTTTTATCCCCTCCTCTCCATTAAGTTGATTGAAAAGTTGTAGTTTATAAATCCTCTCAAGTCCTAATATGCACTGAAATATCCATTAAGTTTTGCCTATTCACGCAAAATAAATCACAGAATTGAGTCACTTATCCAAATATTTCAAGATTAAACTACATTTTCCTTTCAGTTAATGAATACTGTGGGTTTGGGGAATGGAATTATCTAGATCACTTCAAGTTGTATTTTTAGTTTGTGTCTTAGAGATGTATTAAAATAAATCTGTGTGCTGGGGCAGGAGATGGAAGAGAGACTGGTCTCAGCTGAGCAGGTGAGCAGTAAAAAGCCTTTGAATTAATTAGGTTATCACAGGCTATCACAGGTTTCCTTGCGTTCTATAGAGATCACTGCAGTAAGCCACTCCTCTCCTGGACTAATAACCACCCCTAATAGATGCCAGTGGTGCCAGTGGTAAATGCCCAGGCAGGTCGCCATAGCCTGTGAGCTCAATCATAGATTCAGAGTCATTAATTTGCTGTCAGCTGTGATTCTCTTGCCAAAGGCACATTTTGATTTATTGAAATAAAGCAGGTTCCTGTGAAATTTAAATAAGGAAGATGTTACTGTAACAGACTTCCATCAGGAGAAAGGATGCATTTCAGAACATCTTGCATGGTTGAAGGTGTGGAGATGGCATGGGGATACCCCAAGGATAATAAACCAAGAAAATAATCAAGTACCTTTGCTATTAGGGTGTACACACCTTTCCTCATGATGATAGGAGATTAGGTTGACTAAAAGCCATATGGTCATATAAATGATGGTGAGAAAGCATTTGGCAAAATTCAAAATCTATTTATGATGAAAGCCTTCGAAATTCTCAGGATAAAAGGAATGTACCTTAACATAATAAAAAGCCATATATGACAAACCCACAGCCAAAATTACTCTCAATGGTGAAAAGCTGAAAGCCTTTCCTTAAAGATCAGGAACAATATAAGGATGTCCACTCTCACCACTGCTTTTTTTTTGTTTTTTTTAAAAAAAGAATTATTTATTTATACAAGCATTGGGTACAGTCAGAAGCACGGGAGGGTGAGAGAATTCACCATAGCCAGGGTAGGGAGCAGAACAGACAGACTGACGAGACACACTGACGAGACAGACTGATGAAACACTGCTGAGGGAACAGCGGGCACGGCAGGAGAGGTCTGTGTGCCATGTGGGACCCTCGCCGGCCGGCTGGGGATTGAACCGACGCTGCAGAGGCTGCGGGCAGCTTCTCAGCCCAGTGCTCAACCGCTGCACCACTGGGGAGGCCCTTACCACTGCTTTTCAATATAATACTGGAGGACCTGCCAGAGCATTAAGACAAGAGGAAGACGTACAAGGAATCCAAATAAGGAAAGAGAAGTAAAACTATCACAATTTACAGATGATATGATAATAAACATAGAAAACCCTAAGGGCCTCCCCAGTGGCGCAGCGGTTGAGCGCTGGGTTGCGAAGCTGCCCGCGGCCTCTGCGGCGCCGGTTCGATCCTCGGCTGCTCCCCGGCCACCAGAGGAGGGTCCCACATGGTGCACAGACCTCTCCTGCCGCCCGCTGCTCCCCTCAGCAGTGTACTTCGGTCCTTCTGCCTGCTCTGCTCCCCGCTCTGGCTCCGGTGAATTCTCTCACCCTCCCGCGCTTCTGACTGTTACCCAGTGCTTGTATAAATAAATAAATAAATCTTCAAAAAAAAAAAAAAAAAAAAAAAAAAGAAAACCCTAAAAACACCACAGAAAAAATAATTAATAAACCAGTTTAGTAAAATAGCAGGATACAAAATCAACACACAAAAATCAGTAGCTTTCCTATATGCAAACAATCAATCCGAAGAAGAAACAAAGAAAATCATCCCATTTACAGTTGAAACAAAAAAAAATCAAATACCTGGGAATAAACCTAACAAAGGAGGTGAGTGACCTATACAAAGAAAAATATAAAATATTGTTAAACGAAATAGAAGAAGACACAAAGAAATGGAAAGACATCCCCTGCTCATGGATTGGAAGAATTAACATAATTAAAATGGGCATCCTACTGAAAGCAATTTACAGATTCAAGGAATCCAGAGATTAGATTGTAAAAAAGCAAAATCAACAAGCAACTATAAACCAGAGACACACTACAGGGGTGGGGAGAGGAGGGAGTAAGATCAAAACAAGGGGGGTGAGAATTTTATGGGGACTGTAACCAAGATGAAAATCCATACATTGTGCAAAAATGAAAAATGATGTAAAAAATATATAAAATAAAAAAAAGCCTAGTTGGTAATCTCTTATTTCCATGGCTCAGAACTGATCATGGACACCACACTAAGTAGAAGGTTTAGAAATGCTAATACCATCTTACGAACTAATGTACTTAGGAGCAGATGGGCCACATATTTCCACGAACAATGAAGTGGACCCCAGCAGCCCCTTGGGAGCTCTGGCATGAACCAGGAGCTCTGGGGTGCATCAGAAGAGCAGCTCAGGCAAAACCAGTTTTGTGAATATTACAGAACACTGAGGTTTATTGGTTCAAGAGAGGATTTCATCTCAGAGGTTGTCACTCCTCAATCAAAATAAGAGAGGGGCATCCCTGGTGGCCTAGGGGTTAAGGCTCAGCGTTATCACAACTTATACCTGAGTTCAATCCTGGGCCAGGTTGCTGACTCACATGGTGCAGCAGACCTCTCCTATCTCTCGTTGCTCCCCTCAGGAGTGGATTTCAGTAGATCTGCCTGTTTTGCTCCCCAATTTGTCTCTGGTGAATCCTTCCCCCCCCCCCCCCCACACCTCTGGCCTACAGCCCAGTTCTTATATGCATAAATTAATAAAAATAAATCTTAAAAAAAAAGCAAAAACAAGAATGTACATCATTCGACAACCAGGAAACCAGAAAGAAAATCCTTTTTTCATCTGCTTTCATTCATTCCCACCATAAATTCTTAATGAACATCTAAAATACGGCAAGTTCTTATCTAAGTTTGGGGTTCATGAAGCACTATCTTAGTAGAACTTAACTTTTCCAGGAAAGTAATGGACAATAAACAAAATAAGGAAAATATGATGAGGTTAGTTATTAGTAAGTGCTCTTGGAGTGCGGGTGGGTAATGAAGAAAGACAGGTGTGGTTCTGGGACAGTGCTTTAGCATCTTCTTTATATAGGGTGGGCAGGGAGGGTATCTCCTTAGAGATCTAAAGAAAGAGAGCTGGTCTGGGAATCTGGAAGAGGCACTTTGCAGGCAGAGAGAAGGGTTGATACAAAGGTGCCTGGTGTGCTTACAGCTCAGCAGCGACCATGAGCTCCAGACCCTGGGCAAGTGGAGATGAGCATAAGCACAGCTGGAGTGTAAGGGGCATGTCTTGAACCTTCAGCTTTTACTGCGAGATGGAGGTTGGGTGGAGAAGAGCAGGACAACCCAAGCGGGATCCCTCTGGTTATGTGATGGGATAAACAGTGGGAAGCAAAGGTTCCCGCAAAACAGTCTGGTAAGCTAGGTAGTAGAACTTGGACGGCAGTGGAGGCAGGGCCAAGATGCACTGTGCTGGGACAGCATCCGCCAGGCTCCCAGGGTGGAGCCTGAACATCATCTTCCATTACTGGCTTCCGTTTTAATATATTGGGTTGTTGGAAAAGTCATGTCGTATTTTTTCGATGTTTTCTATGTCAAAATGAGTCATGATTTTTCCAACCACCCAATAGTTTGTGCTATAAACATTTCTCTTCTTCTGACTTTTCAAAACCAAAATATCACCATCCAGTGTAAAGCACACTTTTGGCATCCACTGAAACTAATATAAATCCCTGCTTTAAAAAACAGGACGTGAACCGAATCGCATTTCTGAACTTGCTAAAATGCAAACTATGCAACTGTTTAGACACCTTTTGAAAAGGCTCCTTACCATGGATTCAGTGAACCAAAGCTGCTATGTCTATCTGGTGAATACATATTTAGGGACTTACTGTGCATGGATTATTGACCCAATCGACCA